AAAACCATGGGAACTGAGCAGAGATGGCAAAAACATACAGGTCACAAAGACCAACCTCAAAATAATGCCTCATCCAGGAAAACCATGGCTATTTTTAGCCTGCAGTTTCCCAAAAACAGCATCAAATTTCTTGCAATTGACCTGTGCATTTTGAAAATTTCCAGTCATCCTGCCAATTTTGTATCTGGCACATCCTTTGGGGCTCATGTAAAAGCTCCAGGCCCCCTAGATCTGCAAGGGGGGCAAATAAAGTTCTCTGATCCTTCTGAATCAAGTTGTGCATGTGTGTGGCTTTCCAGCTAAATCTGATCATTGCTCTCATTTAGGATCTTCTGTAATGAAAATTCTTGTACCTTCAGCTAATAGGATTGCTTTAAAAAATAGGAAAAACTTGTTGTGCCAAAGGGAAGGCTGTACTAGAGAAAGTCTTTTATACCCCCATGAAATCTAGCATTTTATGGTTTCATAGTAGTACAACCACCAATCATAAAATAGTATTTCTTTAGTGCCTAGTGTGAGTCAGAAACTCTGTTAGAGTCTGTGTTTAAATGACCACTCATGGGAGAGAGTGGCAGAACTAGGGCTAGACACAGAGCTTCTCCCTCTTAATCCAGTATTTTTTGATTTGCTTTTTTCTCCCTTGAACTGAACAGCAAGGAGACAATCCAGTGATATAGATCTAAACATTAAAGGAGTCAACCCAAATTGTGCTTTAGAAGAATATTTAATGACCTGTGGAAATGTTTACAATACAAAATGTAGTCAGAAAATAACTATGTGTGCACACGTGTATTATAATTCCAATTATGCAGAAATTTTATATAGACACATACACACATTATATATCAACCAGAAAGTATCTCTGGATATAATGAATGACTTTGGCTTCCTCTTTAGGCTTTCCTCTACTTTATACATTTCTCACATTCTGCACATATTTCTAATGTTTCTAAAAGTTAAGTTGAATATATAATTTGAATTAATAATATATATGTGTACAAACACACACCCACACACAAGTCAAAATTAGATCATCTCAAGGGAAAAAAAATGCTTTGCTTACTTTCTCTTATGGAGGACATAAAACCAATCAGCGATCGAATCCAAAGTCTTTGCTAGACAATCAACCTTACGACCTAATTCAAATGCTTCATCCCTCAGGGCTCACATTCTTCATCTACCAAAAAAGAGGCATATTCCTATTTATTGCCTAATTTATATGGTTTTTGAAAAAAGTAAATGAAGAATCAAAATTTTGTGCCTTGAGTCCAAATGTATAGGCAGACAGAAAGCTGGTAGGTGATGACAGACAGGGAGTCCTTCTCTTGAAACCACAAATGTATTCAGAATTTCTTCCTGTCTTCACCAAGCTGTAGGCTGAAGCAGCCCCCGTGATTATCTCTTTCTAATCAAACGGGTGCCTACCTAGGGAGGCAGATGTAGCTCCGGTGGAGGGGGTGGGAGCCTCTAATTGCAGGATTTATGTGAGAGGAGATTCCCCAGAGGCAGAGAAACAGACAGACTAGGAGACACCACAAGCTATTTCCTCAAGCAGAGAAAGACAAGGAGGCCTTGGGAAGAGGCTACTCTGTTTCTGGCCCTCAGGGTCTTTGTAGGTGGAAAAGGAAGTTAAAATGGAACTGGGTGGAGAGGGATGGGATTAAATTTGAGGTAACTTTATTGAATGGCTACTTTCTGCAAGGCACTATGGGACTAGTATGGGTGAAAATGCAACAGCAAAGAGTTCAGAAATAAGATTTTTCTAGTGCCTAGTGTGAGTCAGAAACTCTGTTAGAGTCTGTGTTTAAATGACCAAGTTGAATCTTGAAGAATAATTTGTGGGGTAGTGATTAAATCCGCAATATCAGGCACACATTAAGCAAGAGCCTCCCAGAATAACTGCAGGTCTTTCAAACATACCTTGCTTGCCTGCACATGGCTTTCTTTTCAACTTGGCTTCCTTACAACATAAATGTAGTTCCTTTTTCCTAGGATGCCCTTCCCACCCTCCCGACTTGAACAACACCTTCAGGAATTAGTTCAACTGCCACTTCCTCTAAGAAACCTTCTTGTACCCCTCTACTCTCAAGCTAGTTGAAATTCTGAACTCCTGCTGCACTCTGCATTATTTTTTGTAATTACGTTTGCTTGTCTGCACCCCCGCGAATTGGACATGTTATTTTGTGTTTTTGTTGTTGTTGTTGTTGCTTAGTTTGTTTTCCCCCATGTTTAGAATCCCTGGTGCCTAACACAGTGTCCAGAGAAAAGAAAGTGCTCAATAAATGTTTATACTCTAAATATGAAACTAGATGAAGTCATGGAAAGAAAGCAAAGGGTATATGGATAAATAAATGAATGAGTGAATAAATATATCAATGAAAGAAAGTAGAGTGTTTCTAATACAGCTCTGAATCTTATAGATACAGATAATGAAAGGAAGTAAAAACCATGGGAACTGAGCAGAGATGGCAAAAACATACAGGTCACAAAGACCAACCTCAAAATAATGCCTCATCCAGGAAAACCATGGCTATTTTTAGCCTGCAGTTTCCCAAAAACAGCATCAAATTTCTTGCAATTGACCTGTGCATTTTGAAAATTTCCAGTCATCCTGCCAATTTTGTATCTGGCGCATCCTTTGGGGCTCATGTAAAAGCTCCAGGCCCCCTAGATCTGCAAGGGGGGCAAATAAAGTTCTCTGATCCTTCTGAATCAAGTTGTGCATGTGTGTGGCTTTCCAGCTAAATCTGATCATTGCTCTCATTTAGGATCTTCTGTAATGAAAATTCTTGTACCTTCAGCTAATAGGATTGCTTTAAAAAATAGGAAAAACTTGTTGTGCCAAAGGGAAGGCTGTACTAGAGAAAGTCTTTTATACCCCCATGAAATCTAGCATTTTATGGTTTCATAGTAGTACAACCACCAATCATAAAATAGTATTTCTTTTCTTTTTTCTTTTTCTTTTTTTTTTTTTTTTTGAGATGGAGTCTCACTCTGTCACCCAGGCTGGAGTGTAGTGGCGCAATCTCGGCTCACTGCAAGCTCCGCCTCCCGGGTTCCCACTATTCTCCTGCCTCAGCCTCCCGAGTAGCTGGGATCACAGGTGCCCACCACCAGGCCCGGCTAATTTTTTTGTATTTTTAGTAGAGACGGGGTTTCACCGTGTTAGCCAGGATGGTCTTGATCTCCTGACCTCGTGATCCACCCGCCTCGGCCTCCCAAAGTGCTGGGATTACAGGCATGAGCCACCACGCCCAGCCCCAGTATTTCATTTTTTAAAATGTCTTGCCATTGGCAAAGAGATTGAGAGATATCATGTGCATTTTCTCATGTAATCTTCATGACACCTTTAGTGCAGTGGGAATGATCATCTTTCTTTGAGAGATGAAGAAACTGTGACTCAATGAGATGACTTACTTTTCTTTTGTCTCAGCTCCTCAGACACTTTGTAGATCTTCTTTCCTTTTCAATTCTCTTTTCTACCATAATAGAGACATGCTCACACATATCTGGTTCTTTTCTCCTTCTGGACACATAGAAGGACTATCCTTCCCGGACCCTTCTAGATAGGAAGGGCCATGTTGCTAATTCTGGTCAATGAGCTGTCAGGAGACGCACATGTCATTTGAGGATATAAAGCATTTCCTTGCTGATGCAGCAGCTTCCAATATCCACTTCCACTCTCCAGGTCACATGTTTCCTTCTTCCTCTATTGGAGTCTCACGGTGAGAAAGTGGAGCCACAAAACCAAAGCCACTTGGAGAGCTTAGCTATGACACTGAAGAGTGGAGTTGATTTGGCATGAATGAGAATTAAACTTTTGTGGTGTTAATCTGAAGACCTTTGGAAGTTATTTGGGGGTGCAATATAACCCATTCTTACCTGACAAATGTAGATGCTCCTATGAAAAATTGCAAACCTACTCTTCAGTCTCTGAAGCCCCCATCACTTAGAGTTTCTGCATCCATACTTTCCAGAGGTTTTTCCAGTTCTTGTTACTTAGTGCCCTCCTAGCGATCCCCTACAGAGCATTAATCGTGGCTCTCTAATCATCTTTGGAAGTGCACCTAAATTTTAGTTCCTGATCAATACTCCTCCCCGCAATGCCTCACTTCTGCTGCCCTCCCCTGCATCACTGAAATAAACAAGCTGGGCTATCCCCAGGTTGCAGTACTTGCCAGCTTCCTATCCATTCCACTCCAGACCCCCTGACGTAGCAATTACAGAAAAGACTAGAGTCAGAAGATCTGTTGCAAATTTGAAAATTTTTGGAGCTGAAAGAATTCATCCAGTGGTAGAATTAGGAATATAGGGGATGGAATTTGCCTCCTCCAATGCTTGCATACCCTCTACAGCAGAGTAGGAAGGTTACACTCAAGTTTCCCACAGAAACACCTCTGCGGCAGGGTATTTACTAGCTCACAAAGCATTTCTTCCTTCTTTGAACAATCTGACTCTGGATAATTATTTGTCTTGGGCCTGTGTATTCCATACAGGTCCCTGACTGTACTACTTGAGAGTTAAACAGAGAAATCCATTCTTCTTCCTCATAACAATTCTTTAAGAATTTAAAAACAGTTGCTAGGTCTTCTTCAATCTGCCACCATATCTCCCCTTTCAACCTAAGCCTTCTCAATTTTAACATAAGAAAAATAATTATTAAACAGAAACAAACTTACCAGGAATGCACAGCTAGTAACTAAAGTTTCTGGCTCCCAATCCAGTGCTCATTATAGCTGTTAATTCATCTTTTTACTCAGTAAATATTTTATAAGCATATAATATATATACACAGTGGTAACACAGGGCTTACAATTTAAATATGATTCAACTCCTGTCACAGAAGAGCAAAAATTTTAGTAAAACGTAAGATGTGTGGACAGGTAGCTACTGTAGTTGGAAGAAAATGAAAAAAAAAATTCATTAAATGCTTTCTAAATGTCAAGCACTGCCAGGTGCTTCATATATTATTTCATTTAATTTTCAACTACACTCTAGGGTTGACAGTATCATACCATTTTGCTCATTTAGGAATTGAAACACTGCTCTAGATTTTTTTTTATTGCTGCATAAAAGACCACTGAATCATAGTGGTATGAAACCGTTTGATCATGTTCATGAAGTCTGTGGGCCAGGAATTAGAACAGGATATCACAGAAGTAGCTTGTTTATACTCCAAGATACCTGAGGCAGTGGGGAGGTCTCAAATGTCCAGAGACTGAAATCAACAAGAGATTTCTTTATGTACAGGTCTGGAACCTGAGGTGAGTTGACGTTTGGGCTCAGCTGAGACTGTCTGTAAGAGCCACCTACCTACGTAGAGGCCTCTCTATGTACCTTAGCTTTCTGCTGGCAGCTGGGTTCTTCTAACAGTATCTGAAGTCATGCAATCCCACTTCCATTGTAATCTATTTGGTCAAGGTACTTATAAGGCAAGCATGGATTAACTTAGAAATTACACTCCAGTTCATCATGGGGAAGTGAAAAGGTCACACTGCAGAAGAAGCTGTGGTACAGGTGATATCACTGCAGCAAACACTGAAGGCTTAAGCTGTATAGCTGGTGTGTGTTGAAGCAGGTTATGAATCCAGGCCACTTTGGCTCCAAGAGATTTCCTATGAAACTTCAGAAGACGGGTAGATCATTATGTTACTCAAGAAGGCTCCATGGAGCAGGTACCATTTGGAGTGGGCTTTAAAGGAGGGGAGAGATTTGCATGTGGAAGCATTCTACGTATGGGGTAAAGTGTGACTAAGTCATAGAGGGGGGATCATGATCTTCCTTCACTGTCCTCAGGCTATTTGCTATTCCAATAAAAAAACATAGATAATTATCTTCTCCCAATGGTAAACAGAAGCACTGGACATAGGAAAGTTCTTGTGACAAAAACGTGGCATTTTTGCCAGATGGCAAGTTTCCCTGAGTGACTATTACCCATGACACAGGGAACAGAGCTTGTGACACAGCCCATCCACAGGCAGGCAGAGAGGACTGGGCTGAATTGAAGAAGAAGGGAGAAAAATCTCACTTTGGGAGACCAAGGGGGGCCTGAAATCCTCCATAATGAGGCAGAGTGTGATGGCAGCTAGAACCCATTGCCCTTGAGCCCCTGGGTGACCAAAATTAGCTCAAAGAGCATTTGAAATGAAAATTTTAGATGTTGTTGACAACGGTGCACCCCATACAAAGGGAGTCAGGCAAAAGGCAGGCTCAAGCCCAAATTATGGTAGAAGAGGCCTTCATGGAGATTTTGTGAGCACCCAGTGGAACTACTTTGCATGGTACTATTCTACAAAGAATAGGTTTTTCTATTGCATATTTTAAACTAGTTGTTATCAGTGTATATGAAAGCTGTGACTTTAGTATACATATTTTTGAAAATGGCAATAATACAGAAAAAAAACCTGAGCACAAAAATCCCAACAATTTTCATTGTCCTCTATCATCAATCGCATCTCCTACATAACACATTTCCACAGCCATGGACACCTACTCCATAACCTGTTACATTTTTATATTTATTTCATTACTTGCTTATTAACTATTACACCTGTGAGAATGCAAATTTCATACAGAAAGTCATTTAGTTCTGTGTCCTCAGCGTTAAGGTAGTCACTCAACATCACGGTCATGCTTGCATTATGTTGGTCTCTTCATATTTGTTGAGTCAGGCCCTAGGGATAGAAGAGAAGGACTGACAAGCTGATTTGTACTGATTTAGAAGTTTTGGGATATTTATTTGAACTTTAAGGTGAAAGAATAAGCCCTTAATCCCATAGGAGCTGGCATGACCATTTTTAAAGTTCAAAGTTCTCTTTACCTAGTTTAGTAATCACTGAGGGCTTTCCTAGGCGAACCGAATCAAATACAGCCTTTAAAAGAAACAACACTGGGTCCTTAAATCCCAGAGCAAAGAAGGGAAGAGAAAGAACCAGAGAGATGCTTAACTTCCCTGCCAACCTGATTTGGATACTTTCCGATGTCCCTTAAGTCCAAGGGAAAAAAGACCTCTCTAAGGAAAAGAGATCCTGCTCCCGAGACAAAGACCTGCAGTGGTCTGCAACTGGGCAAGATACAAACAGCAGCCATTTCCACCAGGTAGGCTATAAATCCAGCCTTTATTACCTTTTATTATGTTGTTTCAACAGACTCTTAAAGACAGCACAACGGTCGGTTGATAGCTGCACTAAATCTCTTTCATTTTCTCCCCATATTACTTTTGCCTCCTGAATTTTTTTCTCTCTCTTCATGAGTCAAATTTTATGGGTCTTCTCTAGAGAAGGGCTGTAGAATGGAAACATTGTTTATGATTGGGAAAGAAAACCCAACAACCCTCAAACCTCAAAACTGTGAGCTAGCAGTGAATGTGTGTGTGTAACCTGTATATATAGACATTTTACATTTTATATGCATATATATATGCATACACACATATAAGGCAGAATAGCAGAGGAGAGGCACAAATCTAATGGCACAATGGGAGCTGAGATTGTGTGTGGAAGGAATGAACATAAGAACCATTTACTGTTGACATATCAAAGGCTGAAATGGAATTAAAATAAACTAAGGGTCACAATTTTTTAAAGCCCTACTTAAAGAACAGAATTCCATTATGGGCTGAAAAGAAGTCCCAAGAATACTGTGAGGTAGAAGTGAGGCAGGGAGGGAAAGCAGGAGAGGAGGAGAAAGGAAGAGGAAGAGAGGAGGAGGAAGAAGGGGAGAAAGGAGGAGGAAGAAGGGGAGAAAGGAAGAGGAAGAGGAGGAGAAGGAGAGAGAACAGGAGGGAAGAAAAGGGGAAAAAAGAGTGGAAAGAAAGAAGAAAAGAGGAAAATGGGAATAGAATGAGAATGAGAACAAATAAGGAAAAACTATATTCCAGAATCTTTCTGTCTGGGTTCTGAAGTAAGGCTCAGAAACATTTTCATTGCATTTGATGAAGCAGATATTAAACAGATATTAACCATAGATCTTCAACAAGCTTCTATTTTATTTGTCAATCAAATATTAGTGCCTCTTAGGAAATTGAACACTAGATGCTGATCTCCTTACTATCAGCATACAAACACACAGTGTCCCCACTCCCACTCCCACCGATATTGGCAGTCACCTTTCTTTAAGACTCCATAACTTACCCTGTACTTATTTTTAAAGAGTCAATTAATGATCCTTCTCATCGCTGAAACTGACCATATCACTCTGATTTTTCTCTGAGCCCTTTGTCCTCTTTCAGAAGTGCCTCATGCTGTCTCTGGTCCATCAGACTTGGAAGATTTTTTTCATATTTGCCCTGCTTTTTCTTTCAGATCTTATCAACTCCTTGATAACTGGTATCACATGGACATCCTCAAGTTGGGCTCCCTCATTCAAAGCCTGGCTCTACATTTACTAGCTGTGTTATGTTGAGAAGTTACAATTGAACTAGAACCTGTTTCATCATCTGTTAAATGGGGGAATTACCACCATCTATGTCATGGGGTGGTAGCCAGAATCAAATAAGATGATGGATGAGAAGTGCTGGCTCTATCCTGCTATCTAATTCTTGCCACTTTCTAGTTGAAAGGCAATGGGGCAAGCGACCTGGGTTTTGAAGTTTGCTTTTCTCATCAGAAAAAAAAAGTAACAACCAACCCTTGGGGACATGAGAAGGTAGTATAATACTGTGGTTCTAATTTCAGATCCTGGAGCCAGACTACATAGATTCAAATGCAAGTTGCCCTACTAATGTATGACCTTCAGGCAAATTACTGAACTTCTCTTTGCCTCTAATTACTTATTTGTTAGAAAATGTTATTATTACCTACTCCATAGTGCTCTTGTGGGGATTAAATGAGTTAATTCAAGTAAAGTGCTTAGAACAGTTCCAGACAGAGTGAGCTTTAATATATGTTAACAATTATTATTGTGATTTCAGTGAGATAGTATGCATGAAGGACATGGACACATGGTAGGATTTCATCACGTGGTAATCCCTACTCAGGAGATAAAAATCCTTCCACTCCCAGAGTTAAAGTCTATCAATAGAGACAATACATTGCAAGGAAATGGAATTTTTATCTTCTATAATCTAGGTGAATGCTTGATACCATCATTATCGAGGAATTACTTTTTATTTGTATTTCTTATGCATCAATATTTTGTTCAGGAGAGCACTGGATCAGGGACTTGCGAATTCACTAGATAGAAAACTTCTGTTGTTCCTAATGAGGAAACCAATTCTTCAAGCCTTGTTAGAATTGCCAAACAGGGTTTCCTGCTGGGCGGCTTCATTTACTTGGCATCTCCTACTGAGAAACACCAGTACCATTCACAGATTGGGAAATGGAGAAGACAGACAACTGAATGAGAAATACCAACTTAAATGCTGAAATTTGTCATCACCTTCCAGAGAATAGGAACAGATTGTTTTTTTTTTAAGAAAATGAATTTTAGGAGTTAGGCAAATTCATTGCATTTATATCCTCTGAAAATGTCAGAGCTAAACAATGAAATGTAAGATCTCCCACAGTGGCAAAGCTGCAATTGATTGATACCAGGTGCTGGGAGCAGTGAGGAGAGGGTGATTCTGAGGCTACTTCCTAGTTCAGTGGTAAAGTACTATAATCCATTAGTGATGCCTGCCATGGCCACGGAGTTGGACAATGTTGGACCGACTTGCCATACTCTTTCTGTTTCTGATCTAGTCAAACTTCCTAATGCTACAGATGTTTTCAAATTCCCTACATTGGAAAAAGAAGGGTTTAGACTATGTTCGTTTTTAAATGCCATTTTAGTACATACAAATTTACTGAGATGTGAAGAGTTAAAAAAATAAGAATGATTTGTGTATTCTTGGCAAGCAATTGGACACTGCTAAACAGATTGTATAAACTCTTGAATAATGATGTTATTTCTTGGATAGTTTAAACCGTCTTTTCCCCATCCTCATTGGTAATTCTGTTTTTAATCTTTACTGCCTAGGAAACCTATTTTTAAAAGGCTGACGCTTGTTTAAAATCTTTACTAATTCTATAATAGTAAAGTGTACAAAGAAATTGAACTTTACCAAGAATTTGAGGATAAGCAAAATAAGCTAGCATGTGGTCACCACAAGAAAAACATATTTCATTATTGTGGGCAGTCTTCTAAGAATTTTAACTTAAAGAGAAGTTTTTGGTTTTGTTTTTTCTCAAGTGGTTCATGGATTCATGGATTTTGTTTTATTGCTCCTGTTTTTGTTGTTGACCTACTAATGTAATACTAATGATAACAACTGTTTGTGATTTTTGAGCACTCTCCCTTATTTTATTTCATCCGACCTTCATATTAGCCTCATGAGGGAGGCATAATAAGAACTTTTATTCCCATTTTACAGGGAGGAACTTGAGCTTCAAAGGTAACGGATTGGAAATACCAGTGAAATCCTGTTTTTTCTCTCTCTATCTCTCTCTCCACCTTGGGAAGGAAATTAGAGGTCGAACAAACTAATGCCATTGATTTGATTCAAAATTTGAGCCTCACATATCTCTGCCATCAATCCTAATATCCCTTGACTTAAACTAATTTAGTATCCTAATAAATATTTAAATAGAAAATATTTAATATCCTAACACATAGGTTCAAGACAAGTTGCAAATTGTCAAATGATTGATAAAAAGTACAGGATTCTATAGTACGTAAATGAAGAAAGTTACTCTCAGTGGTGAATTCAGAGAAGGATTCATAAATGAGAGGGACTTAGTTTGATTCTCAAAATTAAATAAAACAAAAAGATGTGAGATGAAAGACATCTCAGAGAAGTTTCAGAAAAGTGGTACAAAATCTTGTCTTGAAATTCAGTAGAGAAAAAGATTCCATACAGTTCCCTGGCGTGAAACAAATGGAGGGACATAATTGGAAAATGATTTCTGACTCCTCATGTTTTTTAGTTACACCCATAGCTGGCATGTGGTCACCACAAGTGGTTCTACCGTGGCACTGACCTTGCTCAAACATACCACATGGTTTTTAGTGACAATCAGTCCTGTGTCTTCATCCATTTTTTTTTGCCATTTGCTAGATGCATGGCCATAAGCATATAACGTCACTCCCAGACTTCTTTCCTTTTTTCTTTCTGCTTTTTGCTTAATTTTCCTGGAAGAAAAAACGATGTCTATTTCCCAGGGTTGGCATAGAATCGTGACAACCTACAAAGGGCACCTGGCATACAGCATGTGCTCAGTGCATTAGTTCTCATCCTTATTTCTTACTGTCACAAGCACCTATCGGACTCTAGAGGAAAGAAAATATTTGATTTTCTCTAGGCAGTACCAAGCCTGCAGATGAGAGTATCAGTGCTGAAATTGAACTTCGTGTGTATGTGTGACATAGGGTTGAACATTTCATCAATTTCTAACATTGTTCAGCTAGAGATTTAGGGTAGATCTCCAGGAAAGCATGGAAGTGACTCTAAATTAAATCAACCTGGTAAATTGCTCAGGGATTGTGATGCCTTGCCACCAATAAAAAACAATAAATCACTTCTAGTCTCTAATAGTTTACAGCTATCTAGCAGAAGTAACTTTTCAGAAATTTTACTAAATGTTCATTTAATGAGTGTGAGGTGAGTGACACAATCTAGTATGTATGAAAACAGATAATGCTTATTATACTAGACCCTATTTCTTAGAATAAAACTTAACGCATATGGACTCAATGTAATTAGGCAAAAAGTGAAAACCTTTTGGATTTCGTGAAGAAAAAAGCATATACACATACATCTTTACCCATATCTATACTTACATACATGTATGTACTTATATAAGCATGTATGCACGCATTTATTTTTGAGTGTATATGGCAATTCTACCTACTGTACCAAAATATTTCCTCATGAAAGATCCTTGCAGCATAGATAAGGAACAATTATAGTTAACACACCAATTTATACTATGCATGTGGATATTTCTAAAGTATAGACAAGTAATTTTTGCTATTAAGCTGTTTTATCGTAGCTTACCCCACAATCATTTTGTTTGTTTTTAAGATGGCGTCTCACTTTGTCACCCAGGCTGGAGTGCAGTGGTGCCATCTCGGCTCACTGTAGCCTTTGCCTCCTGGGTTCAAGAGATTCTCCTGCCTCAGCTTCCCAAGTAGCTGGGACTACAGACAGGTTCGTGCCACCATGCCTGGCTAATTTTTATATATTTTTAATAGAGTCTGGGTTTTGCCATGTTGGCCAGGCTGGTCTCAAACTCCTGTCCCCAAGTGATCCTCTCACCTTTGCCTCCCAAAGTGCTGGGATTACAGGTATGAGCCACCACATCTGGCCCTCACAATTATTTTTAATGTTGTATAGTTTGCTAAATAAAACTCTTGTAGTAAGATCTGTAAAGGCTTAGTTTAGCCAGCAAGCAATACTGCACAAGCTGATCGCCATTATGGATCAATGTTCAATCGAATGTTAGAATAAAATTTATCTTTAAAGAGGTGACATGTTGATCTGCCATTACCGGTTAACATCATAACTTGAAGTGGCTTATTAAATATCATCAAGGCCTTAGGAACAGAAAATACAAGGATAGATGATGTTTCTTGCTGAGGATGGGTGGAACATAAAAGCTACCTAGAGAAGATCAAGTGGTTGGTAAGGGGAGCTTGTGATGGCGTTGATCATCTAACGTGGAATAGGAATGGATAAGAGGAATTAGTTCTGGAAACAGAACTACATGATGGGCAAAGGTGCCCACCGAGGTTCTTTCGCGTAGTCAACAAAATGTTTGAGCGTATACAATGTAGCAGTGTATATGTTTATGCAATAGCATCTGCATATAAAAATAGCAAATGTGAAAAGCAGAGCCCTTGCGTCTGGAGATTATGTGTGGCGCACTCTCTCTAAAGGTGTGTGACCCCTCCTACCAGCATCATCAGTACCACCTGAGAACTTTTCAGAAATGTAAATTCTTGAAGTCCACCCCAGACCTACTAAATCAGAAGCACTGGGATAGAACCCTCTAATCTATGTATTTAGGAGATTTTTAGAACCACTGGTCTAATGGAAAGTATTCTAAAACTTGTGTTCCTCAAAGCTATCCTGCTCCAGCAAGTGTGAGAGGGAAAATAGCTTAAAATGGCAGGAAAGTTATTGATAAGGCTCCTTGATTCCTGACTGTCTCTTTGCCTACACAAGTCATTTGATATATCTGTGATGTTGCCTGGTGCATGCAGTCTCAAACTTTCCTGCTCACCAGAATTACTAAAGAGTCGTCTATTCATTCATTTATTCATTCATTTTTTTTTTCTTTGAGGTGGGTCTCTCTCTGTTACCCAGGCTGGAGTGCAGTGGCACAATCTCGGCTCGCTACAACCTCCACCTCCTGAGTTCAAGCGATTCTCCTGCCTCAGCCTCCCGAGTAGCTGGAACTATAGGCATGTGCCACCATACCTGCCTACTTTTTATATTTTTAGTAGACACAGGGTTTCACCATGTTGGCCAAGCTGAACTCCAGGTCTCGAACTCCTGACCTCAGGTGATCCGCCTACCTCAGCCTCCCAAAATTCTGGGATTACAGGCGTGAGCCACTGTGCCCAGCCTCATTTATTCATTCTACGAATATCCGGGCAATATTGACATTAGGCATTCATATAGGCATGAAGATGCAGTTGCAAAAAAGACAAGCATTATCTTTGTTCTTAAGGAGTTCAGAATCGGAATGGGATGTCAGAATATAAACAACATAAAATAATCATAAAAATTGCAAAAGCAAATAAAGTGTTATAAGACAGTCTCTATGTGTTGTATGGTCGAGGGTGTAACTTAATCAGAGTCAAGAAGTACCTCTCTGAAGAAGTGATATTGAAGCTGAAGGATGAATAGACATTACCTGAGAAGAGAGACCAGCCTTAGCAAAGTTCTAGAGAAAGACAAAACCTCACTGTGTTCAGGGAACTAAAAAGGGCAAGCATGAGTAGAGTGAAGAGAACAAAGGAAAAGCTGTCCTGGTTTGAGATTGAAATGGTATAGGTTGTTGGAGACCAAAGCAAGGTAGCCTGGGAGGACACCAAGAAGAACAGAGAAAGGTGAAGACTCAATTCAAGTTAAGATGGTCGCTATGGCCTCAAAAAAAAAAGAAAGAAAGAAAGAAAGAATTGGATGAGAGCAGAGCAATGAAGGCTGGAAGACCAGTTAGGACGATCTGCTGCTATAACCCAAGTAAGTATCCAAGTGATCGATAATGGCATGATGGGATAGGGGAGTGTCAGATAATACAATAGCTTACAAAGCAGGGATCACTCCATTTAGAATGGGTTGTCACTCACAGGAATCGCTTTCAAGCTATTTGGACCCAGAGATAACCCTGGACTTGGCAACTAGGTAGAGAGAAGGGGTATTCACCTATGTAACACTCTTTCAGTGACCTTAGGCAAGTCCTTGCTCGAAATATCTCCTCCTTTCTGCCACCAATCCACTCTTACCCCTTAGTTTCTTTTTCCTAAGTGTTGCACTCCCACTGTTCTTTTAAAGTGCACATGCCCTGAGGAATTAAAGTTCTGAACAGTCTTTGAGAACGCTGAGCACATCAGTTCCTTCCTGACAGTGAAGGGTTACAAGGTTCCTTGGTTACAAGGCTAATGCTCTGCTGTGACCCTGGTTTTCCTCTAACCCAGGTCAGGACAGGGATGTGATGTGACTGACACTTCTTACCCCACACATGGCCTCTGGTGACTGAAGGTTGACACTTTCACCAGCCCTCCCCCCAGGGTGCCCCGTCATCTCTCCTCCTAAAGCTGACAGCACATTGGCATTGCTGACAAATGACTCATTTCCAGCCACATAAAGTGGCTTCAATCTTCTCTTTTTGAAGTCTCACAGATTACCTCCTCCGCCTCCTGCTTTTCTGACAACTTCGCTCCAGCAGTGCATTATGTTAAAAACCACACTTATTATGCCAGAGTGGGTCTGGCACAATTAGAGTTCAGTTTCTATAACAGATGTTGATATGCCTGTAATGACCTGCCTGGCTCAATGCTTCTGCAGGCCTGTGACCTGTACAGCTAGTGTCACAGGACCCAGTGTCCTGCCTGAAGAAATCCCATCTCCAAAGGGAGAAGAGACTGTCCCTCCTTCTGCATTCTTTTAATTATATTTGAATGTGGGGTGCCACCATGAACTGTCACCCAAGTCAGAAACCAAGGTGCTCATTCAGATCTCTTCCCCACCTTTATCCGTCTTAGCCAGTCACCAAGTGTCCTTCTTTCTTTTGCTTTGACATCTCTCCAAAGGCCCACTACCATGCCCCTGGATCACACTACCATCACCCTTCTTTTAGAATATTGAACAATCCTCCATCCATATCTCTGCCTCCAGTCCTGCCCTTCCAAAACAGGCTCCAAAGTAATGGTTCTAAAATGCCGAATTATTCATCTACACTCACTGCTCTCAATCCTTTAATAGCATCGCATTGACCTTGGGATAAAGACTCCAGCTTAGAATTCAAAGTTCTCTCCAAAGGCCTCTCCTGCTTCTTTACTCCAGACCACCTTCACCCAAAATCTGTTATGCAAGTAGGGATCAAACTATCTGGAGGTTCCCTCGTACACCCTATTCCTGGGTTCCTTTATATCTTTGCTTGTTTGTTCTTACCTGGAATTCCTGGTTTTCCTTTTTCTTTGCCTCACTAATTTCTTCTCATTCTGCAGGGCTCATTTCACCTCCAGGTAATCTTTCATGAAATGCCCTCCTCAAAGGTATTAAGAGCCCCTTTTTGAGACTGAAAGAGTCTATGTTCCCCTCTATCCTGCCATGAATCTCATTAATATATTGGTTCTTTTGCTTGTCTTCTGTCCCACTGAACTATGAGCTCTTTGAAGGCACAAGTGGTGCCTTAGGCAACTCAGCACACCCAGAGACATACAGAGCAAAAGGTAATTGACTATGGAACTCATCCTTCCAGCCTGCAGTTCAGCTTTGATAATGGTTAGTGTGTGCATCGTGGACCTCCATATATGACACATTTTAGCATCTGCCAGCCCATTTAATCTTCACAACAAACCTGTAAGGAAGTCATTTTAACTGATTTTACAGATGAGAAAACTGAGCCTCAGGGAGGTAGAATAACTTGCTTGTTTTCACACAGCTAGACAGAAAGCAGTGCAGTATTTGCTGAGGGACATCTACGTGGATTTGGGTAAGAAAACATTATCACTATAGAGTTAAGCCACGAAGGATTGGAAAGAATTTATCAGTTGGAGTAAAGTGGGGTAAGTGGGAAGGTTATTCCCAAAAAACAAAAAGTGTATTTCTAAATATCGATGTCATCATGAACAAAGGCACAGAGCTATGAGGGAGAGATGCGATTAAAAATAAAGTCCTAGTCTGAATACATTTCTACCAATTACTAGCTGTGTGATCTGGAAGAGTTGCCTAACCTCAGATTTTTCATATGTAAAATGAGAATAATAAAAGCTCCAAAGCCTTTAGATTAATATAAAGATACAATTAAATACATGTGTGTTACACATTATATACAACTGTGTGTGTGTGTGCACGCGGGTATCTTCCTAAGAAAATACTCTGACAAGCAGCAATGGCTCAACACATGTTAGCTATTTCTAGTAATGCTATTCCAATTATCTATTGTTATGAAAGAAACTACTCCAAAGCATAATACTATCAAATAACCATTGCTTTGTGCATCACAAGAACTCAGTAGAAGAGTTGTCTCCGACCTATGCAGCATGAACTGGAGCACCCACTTCCAGGATGACTTCTTCACTCACTCACCTGGTGCTTATGGGCTGGGTTGTCATCTGTGTAGCAAAAAGGTGGTACTTGTCAGCCAGGTATCCAGCTCAGGCTGTTGACGAGGGTAGCGGCAAAGACCAGATTGATCAGGATGTTCTCTCCATGTGTCTCAGACTTATCCCTGAGTCGTGACTTGTTTCCCAGAGGGGAAAGAGACATGAGCAGAATCTACAAGGCTTCTTACGAGATAGCTTCAGAAGTTACAGAAAGTCCCTTCTGACACATTCTGTTGGTCAAGTAAGTAGGACTGCCATCCCAGATTCCAAGGGAGACTATTAGATTCTACCTTTCAATGAGAGGTTGACAAGGAATTTGTGGCCATCTTCAATATACCACACAACTGGTACTACTAGTGGTGCTACTAGAACTAGTATGACATTTAGAAGTGACTGCAGTCATTCCACTGCGATAAGCATGTAGAGTGTACATAAAAAAGGGATGACTGGGGGATGAAGCCGCTGAGAAACTGCTACACCGACGTGGTAGAGTAGAAGCAGTAACATTCTAGTCTCTTCATTACACCCCACAAAGCCAGTGAGAACTAAGCAAGTGAATTTCCCAACCCCAGGGGGTACATGTATAAACCAGGGAGTCAGAAGCTACACTCTGAAAAAGAGTGAGACTGCTAGGAGCATCCCTGGGATTTCTTTTCTGACTCACCTGAAATGAAGCAGCCGACTCTCCCTAGCCTCTTTCTTTCTCTTACCTGATGGAGGTCACACTGAGTTATTTTTCCAAACTTTGGAGGTAAGAGAATCAAAGGTCTCGGCTATCTTGGCCATCACAAGCCAGAGTTACTCATGGGGAACAAGGCAGGAAGCATAAAGAGGACACAGCAAAGCGGATGTTGTACATAAAAGACACTTTCCAGCACAATGTAGTTCACATTTCTTCCCTTACTTACTGTGCTGATTTTTTTTAACCATATGGGTTTTTGTCAGCACAAGATATGTATGACCTCTTTTCTCAATTCATTGATCTGGTAAAACACACACACACACACACAAACACACACACACACACACACACTTATTTTTGGGGCCGACCTGTTCTTACCTGTTAATTCTATTAATGTCCCTGTTTAAAGGCTATAGTCTAAGAGAGATCTATATAATTTAATGACATCTCCTGTACTTCCGTTCTTCTTATTAATTCCTGACACCAATAGCACATACAAAATTAAATGCATTTTTAAAAGTACATTCAAAGAACACATACAAAATTAAATGCATTTTTAAAAGTACATTCAAATACATCCTTTCACACACACATATATTTCATTCTCAAACATATCCTCATTTGGATGATAAATTATATGTTTGCCTAACTGTCAAACATACAAAGTACACCTCTGCAAAACATACCGTTCACAGACAAGCACACAAACACATAGAAACACACTGAATTCCCCTTCTCCTAGCAAATACACACAAAGATAATAAACCACTCTGAAAAGCACACACAAACACACACACACTCATAACACAGAGATGCCCTCAATTTCTAAATGCACACTTTCAAATCCTTGCCTAAATCATCCTCCCTGTACAAATAGCACACACCCATTCACATATTAATACTAACAGACTCTCATACCCACAAACATGCAAGAGAGAAATCTAGGAAAACAACACACACAAAGAAAGAAAAAATATATATATAAACATGTAGACTAATGCACTCTCTCAGTATTCCCTGCACATATGACACCTCTAAGGAGGCTGTTGATGGATCCTGGACACACAAAAATGCCCATGTTCAAATGAACTTCTCCATACCCACATATTACAGACAAATCTAAGCATATCCTTTTTTAATTGTGATAGAATCAAGCATCTAGTTTCAAATACAAAATCACACATAGAATATAATAAATAAAACGTATTCATGCATAATCACACACACACACACACACACACACACAACTTCTGACCTTAAGTTCTCTTCTTCTACCAATACTGTCTCTCATTTCATCTTAAAGTCCAGCCTTCACTCAGAAGATCATCTTTATGGAAATCTTCCCATAAACAAACAAGTCCTCTCTTTTTAACACAAATGTCCTAGTGCAGACAATCCCTCTGCCCGAGTTGGCTCTTGACTCCCTCGTGTCCCAGACTAACTGTCCTGGCCACCAACAAAGACTCTAGAAACACCATTGCAATTCTTTAATTGGCCTCAATTTAGACAGACTAATAGCTCTAGAAATCTCAGAGGACAAACAGATAACACTTAATAAGGCTGGCTGCTTAAAAAGGCACAAGGTCATGTCCTTTGCAGGGACAAGGATGGAGCTTGAAACCATTTTACTCAGCAAACTAACACAGAAACAGAAAACCAGACACCACATGTTCTCACTTTTAAGTGGGAGCTGAACACATGGACACAGGGCAGACAACAACACACACTGGGGCCTGTTGTCGGGTGAATGGGGGGTGGGGAGAGGGAGAGCATGAGGAAAAATAGCTAATGCATTCTAGGCTTAATATCTAGATGATAGATTGACAGGTGCAGCAAACCACCATGGCACACATTTACTTACGTAACAAACCTACACATCTTGCACATGTATCCCTGAAGTTAATATAAAATAAAATAAAAAGGATGACTGCTAATACTAAAAGCAAAGGGCCAGGTGCTGAGGGAAACATTTGAACCTTGAGTCAGGACGTCAGCTCTAGTCTTATCTCTGCCACAAATGTGCTGGGGGACCTAAGACAAATTCCTCTCACTCCCTGGCCCTTGTCTCTTCACCTGTGAAATTAAATTTTGGACATGAGGTTGTGTTTTCTAAGATCTTAAAGCTGTAATCCAAAGTATGTGAACATTTCTAGACCAAAAACTGCTAACAGGTAAAAACTGTTATTTTGATTAGAAAAGGGTATCTGAATCCTTCTGCCTAAGTGGTATAGGAAAAGGTGTGCAAAACTCGGAATTTAAAAAATCTCAGTTCTTTGGAAGTTCTGGGTAGCATAATCAGGCAAGAGAAAGAAATGAAGGGTATTCAGTTAGGAAAAGACAAAGTCAAATTGTCCCTGTTTGCAGACAACATGATTGTATATTTAGAAAACCCCATTGTCTCAGCCCAAAATCTCCTTAAAGCTGATAAGCAACTTCAGCAAAGTCTCAGAATACAAAATCAATGTGCAAAAATCACAAGCATTCTTATACACCAGTAACAGACAAACAGAGAGCCAAATCATGAATGAACTCCCATTCACAATAGCTTCAAAGAGAATAAAATACCTAGGAATCCAACTTACAAGGGATATAAAGGATCTGTTAAAGGAGAACTCAGTGAAATAAAAGAGGACACAAACAAATGGAAGAACATACCATGCTCAAGGATAAGAAGAATCAATATTGTGAAAATGGCCACACTGCCCAAGGTAATTTATAGATTCAACGCCATCCCCATTAAGCTACCAATGACTTTCTTCACAGAACTGGAGAAAAACTGCATTAAAGTTCATATGGAACCAAAAAAACCCCGCATGCCGAAGACAATCTAAGCCAAATGAACAAAGCTGGAGGCATCACGCTACCTGACTTCAAACTATACTACAAGGCTACAGTAACAAAACAGCATGGTACTGTACCAAAACAGAGATATAAGCCAATGAACAGAACAGAGCCCTCAGAAATAATACCACACATCTACAGCCATCTGATCTTCGCAAAACCTCAGAAAAAACAAGAAATGGGGAAAGGATTCCCTATTTAATAAAGGGGCTGGGAAAATTGGCTAGCCATAAGTAGAAAGCTGAACTGGATCCTTTCCTTACTCCTATACGAAAAATAAATTTAAGAGGAATTAGAGACTTAAATGTTAGCCTAAAACCATAAAAACCCTAGAAGAAAACATAGGTAATACCATTCAGGACAAGCATGGGCAAGGACTTCATGTCTAAAACACCAAAAGCAATGGCAACAAGCCAAAATTGACAAATGGGATCTAATTAAACTAAAGAGTCTGCACGCAAAGAAAACACCAACAGAGTGAACAGGCAACCTACAGAATGGGGAAGAAAATTTTGCAATCTACTCATTCTGAAAAGGCTAATATCCAGAACTATAAAGAACTAATCAAACTATAAGAAAAAAACAAAGCAACCCATCAAAAAGTGGCAAAGGATATGAACAGACACTCTCAAAGAAGACATTCATACAGTCAACAGACACATGAAAAAATGCTCATCATCAACCGCCATCAGAAAAATGCAATCAAAAAGCACAATGAAGAACCATCTCACACCAGTTAGAATGACAATCATTAAAAAAATCAGGAAACAACACGCTGGAGAGGATGTGGAGAAATGGGGAACACTTCTATACTGTTGGTGGGACGTAAACTAGTTCAACCATTGTGAAAAACCAGTGTGGTGGTCCCAAGGATCTGAACCAGAATACCATTTGACCCAGCCATCCCATTTACTGGGGATATACCCAAAGGTTATTTATCATGCTGCTATAAGACACATGCACACGTATGTTTATTGTGGCACATTCACAATAGCAAAGACTTGGAATCAACCCAAATGTCCATCAATGACAGACTGGATTAAGAAAATGTGGCACTTATACACCATGGAATACTATGCAGCACAAAAAAGGATGAGTTTGTGTTTTGTAGGGACATGGATGCAGCTGGAAACCATCATTCTCAGCAAACTATCACAAGAACAGAAAACCAAACACCACATGTTCTCACTCATAGGTGGAACTGAACAATGAGATCACTTGGACTCAGGAAGGAGCATCACCACCAGGGCTATCATGGGGAGCGGGGAGGAGGGAGATTGCATTGCGGGTTATACCTGATGTAAATGACGAGTGATGGGTGCTGACGAGTTGAGGTGGCAGGCACACCAACGTGGTACAAGTATACATATGTAACAAACCTGCACGTTGTGCACATGTACCCTAGATCTTAAAGTATAAAGAATAATAAAAAAAAGAGAAAATGTGGCAACATATACACCATGGAATACTACGCAGCCATAAAAAAGGACGAGTTCATGTTCTTTATAGGGACATGGATGCAGCTGGAAACCATCATCTCAGCAAACTATCACAAGAACAGAAAACCAATACTGCATGTTCTCACTCATAGGTGGGAATTTGAAACACTGAGATCATTGGACACAAGAAGGGAACATCACACACCGGGTCCTATTGTGGGAGGGGGGGTCGGGGGAGGATAGCATTAGGAGATATACCTAATGTAAATGATGAGTTAATGGGTGCAGCACACCAACATGGCACATGTACACATATGTAACAAACCTGCACGTTGTGCACATGTACCCTAGAACTTAAAGTATAATTAAAAAAAGAAAAAAAAATCTCAGTTCACATTTTTTTCTCTGCCCTGAATTAATTAAATAAATGTTATTTATTTAGCAGTTACCTTGCACCAGGTGCGGTGTTGAGTACAGGACAAGAGACTCACCTGAAACAACCTCGTCTTTGCAATTCAGGCGAAAGAATAAAGAATAGGACATCAACAAAGAATCTGGATATAAATTATTCACAAGCTGTGAAAGAGGTATTTTGGTCATATTATCACGCCTTACAAAATCAACTTTCATCTGTTTTTTTCAGGATTCCACTTTTGACTCTGGCTTACACATATCTTGACTTACCAAAAGCGCAGGGCAAGCTCGAAAGCTGCTTCCCAACTCATCTATGTTTTGACAATGAGCCTTTATTTGTGATATGGCAGGAAGAGCTGAGCAGCCCATAACCTGTTCTTGAAGTTGTGCAGTACTGCACAGCACTGATACTAATTTCATTACTTTTATTCATCCAGCCTTGGGTACTTCAGCTCGTTGGGTTCCAGCGGCGATTAATTGGTAGAGCTCCCACTGACTCCTGATTAGCTGCTTTTGATTAGGGCCTAATGACTTCATTTGGTCCCTAATTCAGGGGGATGAGTTGCAAAACTGCCTACAAACTGCTCAAACAGAATTACATTTTTTTCCAAGCCCTGAAGACATCACTTAAACTCTGCATACACAGTATTCTCCCTCCCTTGTTCCTCTTCCTATTGCCTCTGGACCACCCTGCACAGAAGCAAGACAAAAAGGAACCTTGTGACCCAGCTCCTGGCTGCTAGAGCAGATGTCACACAAAAAAGGCCTGGAAGTCGACAGGCTGGCTCCTAGGAGGAAGTCACCCCCTACAGCACTAACTCCTGCCCAGCGCCTAAAGGAAAGTCTTGGTATGTAAGAATTTTTTTGAAGTCTTCACCTGCCACATTTGCTGCTTGCCTTCTTCGGAACAAGATCCTCTCTTGATCTTTGCCTTAATCTTCTGCTACAAACACCTGGAAACCTTCAAGCCTTCAACCTGTAACCTGTAGCAAAGGTCAGAAAACATAAAGAAAACAGTTTCCATCCCAGAATCCCAATGGACAGTTGCTGCTGGTGGTCTGTGATACTGGCTCTGACTTCCAAGACCACAGATCCTAACATTCCGGACTAGGGAGCAAGATAGTCACAGATACTCAAATCCTCTTGGGGTGCATGTTTAATATACAGATACCCGAACTTCGGAGGTCCATCTCAGAAGGTTGCTTAATTTAACATTCTTTTCTACAGATTTATTTATTTCTCAAAAGTAAGCAGTTTGACAAACATTTATTTAACATTTACCATGTGCCAGATGCTATGTTAGTTTTCAGGTAAACACAGGTGACCAAGACTCCATCTTTAGCATCTGAGAGCACATTGTCTACTGTGGAGGCAAATCCTTTGATTGATAGGTAAACGCTCTACAGTCAGTGTCTGGAGTGTAATAAGTGATAATTACAATTATATATATATATATGTATATGTATCTTTATGTATGTATATATGGTGCATATACATTTGTGTGTGCATATATAGTGTGTGTGTATATATCAATATGCTAATATGCAAACCATTCAAAATGCTGTAAAGAAAGAAGTATCCTGTCTTCCCTCAGCCCTCAAAGTGCTCTCCCCAGAGTCAACTGCTGTTAGCAGTCACTTGCGTTCACCTGCAAACATTTCATAGTCATCTGTACACATTTTTAAATGAGGAAAGTAAAATTAAGAAGGAAAAATACGACTTGCTCAAAGTAGGGTGACAATGACAGAGGCTTTTATGGCTCCTGTACTCTCAGTCGTGCTCTTTTCCAAGAAACTTTTAATGGCATTGCCTGGCTCAAGAGACTAGTCCAGAAAACTTATGTTGGTTACATGCAGCCTCAAGAGAACTGTACCTTGCAAAACCAACAAAGAGCTAAAAGAAAGACATGATGGGGACAGAGGGTGCTATCAGGCAGATCAAAGAACTTCACAGGACCTCCTAGAC